TTTCGATTCCATATTGCATTGTGAAAAATAATTAATTTATGCAAAGCTGTCGCAAACATGTAATACGCAAAACTGTTGCAAACATGCAATACTTCAATTATCGTGATTTGATATCGAAAAATGGAATAGAAAAATTCCAATTGGTATCCAGTTGCTATGTTTTGATTTACTCCAACTTGCGGTGAAGTAATATGTAAAGTAATATGTGCATATCATTCAGTAGTAATAAAACTTGATAATATCACTGTGTCATTTCTAATTTATTTTAAAGGAACTGATGAGTATGATACTGCAAACAGTACGTTGTCTAGATGGAAAAGAAGATTGGATTCTTGATGAAATGCATTGCTATCATTTAGTTAGTAACATAACAATGTTCAATTCAGACTTTAGGATAGATTACGACTATCACAAGGTATTTAGCATTCTTATCAAAGTAAGACGAGATATATAACTGAGAAATGTTCATGAAATGAATTTCTTTTCCTTTAATATATTCTATATTATATTTCCAGTGTGATAACCTCATGTTTGCTGAGAAATGTTCGAAATGTAAATCACCTTCTGTTAGGTCTAAAATAAAATTTCACTATATACTACCCAATCATTTCTGTTAGGTATTGGTCGAAGATCACATGTACAAATGTTAGCAACAACAACAATAAAACTGTTCCGGAAATTTCCAAAATGCAATTCAACCAATGAAAACTAACTGCCTAATATGACTAAATATTGATAAAAACTATTTTGCAGTATTTTACTCCGAATGTGGACTACGTAGTGTTCAATTGATTGTATGTAATGTGCTTAGGTAATGCTCGAAAAAGGGATCTGATTGCACATAATATAACTCACACAGGTAAGAAGCCGTTCAAGTGCGATATATGTGATAAAAGATTCACTCGAAGTGATTATTCGCTTGTACATAGAAGGACTTCTCACAGAGGTGAGAAGCCGTTTAGCTGTTTTTAGTGCAACAAGAATTTCTCCCAATCACAGTATTTGAAAACACATATGAAGATTCGAGAATTTTTTAATTTTCGAGAATCTCTAAGAAGAAGAAACTGTCCTTTTATGTTTAACCGTTTAGCGTTCCTTAAAAAACCAATGCTGCTAGTACAGTCTGGAATGTTCAAATTACAAACGTTTGCTACTTTATCAGTGTTGCATAATTAACTGATAAGCTGGAGTGCTTAAGCTATTTTGATCATTAAATAGCATAATTTTTAATTTCATTGGGAAGCTTGAGTGGTAATGAATTGAAATTTCATTAAAATTTTCCAATGCATTATCCATCAATGGTTCAATTATTCTTAATTAATTAGTTCATCAATATAAGGCAACCAAATTAAAAAATTGTAGGACAATTCGAAAAGATGAATTTAAGAATACTATCGTATTCCTATTTCAAGAATACTATCGTATTCCTATAGATGCAATGCTATCGTATTCCTATAAATATAATCCTATCGTATTCCTATAGATACTATCATATTCGTATTTTTATATTGTATTTGGATTTATTATAAAAGGAAAAAAATAGCATTAAAAAAAAACTGACGGAAAGGATAGCATTTATTTAAGAAATAAAAAGAGAAATTGAATTTTAAATCGTGACTTTCTGAATTGTTTGGAATAATTTGATTCCTAGAAACTAAATTTCAAATTACAATTTTTCCCGAAAAATTAAATTTTAAATCATGATTTGCTAAATTACTTGCAATAAATTATTTTAATAATTTAATAAATTATAAG